GCGCAAGGATGGCATTACTATGGTGTGGAATGAATTTTTTTCCGCTTTCTTCCGCGATAGCAATGTTGAGCAACCCATGGTAGCAAGATATGCGGTGAAGTGAAAGAGAACGTTACTGCACACAGTGCCTTTTGCCAGACATGAACTTGTGTCGTGCCAACTAAACAGTGCCAACCTCCATTTCTTCGTCACCTGCTGCTTTATAATTTATCCAGTTTGTCCTTCCCACTCACTGCGTTAACAATGGCTACACCGTCAAGCATACACTTACCCACACACCTTTTGAAAGCAGTTAAATCAGTCACATAAAGTGGTGGAACATGTGAGAGACGTCCTTGCCGTTAGGCGAGTACAAACTCATGCTTTACCATTTGGTAGCGCGTGCATGGCTACTTCCATGTTTAATGGCTCAACCGAATGCATTAGAATCGGGAAAACACGTAGATTGCGGGGTTACTAGCAAAACATTTCATTGCTAAACATGGCGCATGTCTGTCAACGTATATCGGTGCCAAGCTTCGACTTCAATTCGCCACATTTCCTGCCATGGACGATCATTGAAGTGGCAACACAAATGGAGTATTCAAGTACGCGTCGATTCGGCAAGCAGCCTTTGGTACCATATTTTAAATTCATGAATGTTGGTAGTCCTGCGCTATCGCTACTTCTTCAACAATCACTAGCTGTCTCTTCAATTGCGTTAAACCGATCGTGCTTTATTTGCTTGCCTTGAATTGGATGCATGTTGTGGTGTGCCGCACCTATTCGTGCACTTGAGAATGCGGTGTTCCGTGAATGAGGGACTCGATGACGTGGCGAGTTCTGTTCCCTCCTACACGCAACTTCATTCCTCTGGTTACTGCTTCCTCCGTACAAAGGCGCACCCAACACGCTTGCCTTTCCCAGCGTCAGCTCAAGTGAAACGCTCATGTGGGTGTGCTTTAACGCGACTCCCATTTATGTCAGTCATGCTGTCAGAAGGGTGGTGCAATGAGTTAGGGTCTTATTAGAGCATTTGGGTGGAGGATTAGTCGTCTATTCGGTTAAAAACGTTCGTGCTTTAGCAAGCCTAGCATGTGCCAACCGATGACTCGTTTCAAGTGTGTTCAAATACGATTGTGCCGTGGCCTGTATCAGGACAAATGACGCAATCCCAGAGCATTCCACAGGAGACTGGTTTACTTCAAGGCTACACTACGTCGCCATGTACGATTCGGTAGTGATGTCGGCTGATTCCCACATCAATCCATGCCAATGAATGTCAGTATTCATTAAGCAAACCAACTTTCAGACTACCCGACAGCATTACTTGACTGTCAGTGTG